CCACACCCCCAAAACTGTTTGAATATTTTAACCTGTCAATCTTGTCAAATGAAACTATAATTTTGTGCTCCCTGGATGGACACAGGAAGATGTTGATGGAATATAGCCGAACTTTAGAAATGTAATGACACTGCACTTCATGAGACACAGTGGTTTTATGTGCATTAGTTGAAAATAGAGCTACCGTCGCCATATCAAATATTGACACGCAAGGTCACAACAACAGTTTTTTTCACAGAAAGGAGTAGATAAAAAAAAAATATTAATAACTGCTAAGTAACTCGTTACCAATTATTGAGTGCATACACTGCTGCCAGTTAACAAGCCATTATCAGAACCTTTCACAATCAATATCCTGACTTCTCCTGGCTCTACAAAGCAACCTGAAAGGATGCATTCTGATGCTTTTTGCTGATATCAAGCTGGAAACAGTTGTTGTCTGAGGGGGGCACTTAAAACAGCATCTAACTGGGAAAATGGTTGTATTTTAGATGCAATTATCTCTGTCTAGAAAAAGTCTTTTGAATACGATAAAAAAGCTAAAGTGTGATTTTTGTTATTTAGCAAATTATATTTACCTATAGATCTTGTTTTTTTTAAATGGTGTAAGGGAGCAGTTTTAGAGAGACACTGACAGACGCGCAAAGTGGAAGGAGTTCAGAATTTTTGCAGGATGTAGAGCTGGAAATACAGGGCAGCTGTGTTAAATCCTTGTGAACAAGGCAAGATCTTTTAAAATAAGAATATACACATGCCATGTTTTATTGTAAAGTTATATAGTCTTTAAACAACATACTGTACACAGTATCAAAGGGATTTTAGTGCTAAATGTTTTTCTGGTGAAAGGTTTTTTTTAGCCCAGCATTTCATTTAAAATGGATACTTATAAAAAAGGGCCTTAGACTCGTTACTTAGATATTTCGGCATAATTAAGTAAGCCTTATGAAAGTCTAATGAAATTTCGTGAAAGCTTTTTTATCTTTTTTTATATTAACTATAAAGTTTTCATAAAAGACACATAAAGTCATACAGCTGTGGCAGTCCTTATACAACAAGGATTTGACTGCATCATCAACACCACTTCTGGGCTCCATAGCCCCCCACCCCAGCATCATGGGTATGAGCAGACCCTGGGGGACACACTCATTGACTTCTAATGCAGTACCAACATCCTTTTAGCCACGGTGAGCCCAGTCAATCAGATGTGTTTGTGTCATTGCAAGACGCCAAGCTTGGACTAGTCATTAGCAACAACTGTGAGTAAGAAGTAGCAATACTAGGTGAGAGCACTTGTTTAGATTTGTTTAGATTAGATGTCTCCGGGGACAACACCTGCTCCACCTGCCAATGGGTGTGCAAGCCAAATATTAGACTTACAAGTCATCTTCAGGTTCATGGAAGACAGTCGTTCTGAACTGCGAGGGACAGCCAATAAATAGTCTCCTTCTTTTTCAATGGGAAAAATGTAGTCTGTGGAAACAGTAGTGCTTCCTTTGAGAGTTTGGGGAGTTAGAATGGATAAACCTGATCATCCGTAGTAATAGTAATAACGGATAAAATTAGTAAAGCCCTGGTATGTAAATGTAACAGGGCTCAATCTGTGTGAGCCAGTTGTGCTGTCATAACACTCTGAAGCTTGGTTTACATGACTGGTCTTTTGACCGACTGGATTTGATCATCCGTGTGTGTGTGCGCGCGCACTACTGCATGTGGCTCAGGAGGTTCCTGAGAGACGGAGAATCGAATCCCTGGCCGCAAACACAAGACACATACAGTATACACTGGAGCTCTGCTTTTTCATACAGCAATTCCAATTGTATAAAAAAAGTTATTTTGCTCCCAATCAAAATACCAAAAAAAGGTTCTTCAAAGAAATGCTCCTTCAGTCATCGGCTAATAACACTCTTCATGCACTCTGCCACATCATTAGGTGTTTCATTTGTGTAGCTTAACTGCACAGATTATCATAAAACCTCTGAGTAGGAGAGAACAAACAAGAAGAGAAGGAAATTCTGCTTTGCTGGCAGTATTGATCAGTCAATGAAAATGTCTTTTTTTTTTTCAAGGTCACCTTCTCCTACCTATAAATTAAGGTTACCTTATTTCTGACATTGTCTGTCTCTTAAACACTGCTCTTTTCCCTGCATTGTTTTTTCTCAGTGGGCTTCAGGAAGGAATGTACTGTAGGATTCCCTGTGGTGGAGTCTGCTAGGGGCTGCAGGGAAAGCTGGTTAAAAAAGAAAGAAAAGGGGGTAAAAATTAACTGCAAATGTACAGTTAAAAGAGAGGTGGGTTACATAATTTTTTATTTAATTTCCGGCAGTGATAAGGTGACTGTGCTGCATTCTAAAAGCTACATAACTTAAAGGGACTGTTTTTGAAAACCACGTTGAAATATTAAATGTTTGTTTTTCTTCTGGTATTGAGACACGGACAAAGAACAGTATTATGTCTTAGCTAACATAAATTCTCTAAGGGTAGAGGCTTATTTATCTTTTTTTCTGTGGTATTTAATGGTGCCCCATAAAACTCTTTTAAGTGATAGATAGATGGCATTTCTCCTTTTCATAAGGTATCTCAGAGAATGTTTTTACCAGGCAATGGAGACATGAGAAGCAAACACTGCAGGAACTGGAGAACTGCTTTAGTAAGCATTTTCATAAGGCAGAATGGAAGTGCAGTGTTTTGCTGGCAAGGAGAAGGATTTTCAAAGCAAGCTGCAGTGGTTGTGATGTTGTAAAGGTGTTGCATTAAAAAAAAAAACAGAAAAAAGCCTCTCTGCAGTATATATTAATGATGTGAAGGATTTATTATACTTTCTGAATTGTGTTGTTTCCATGGGAACCATCACAAAGCCAAAGGTCCTTAAAGAAGGAGTAATTCAAAACGTGCTGTTAAAGCTGGTGTTTAATGTTAGGAATGCAGAGTACAGGATGTTACTGTGTGAAAAGACCTTACTAGCTTCTGTACACACTGTATAAAAAAAGTCAGAAGCATACTGTTCTGTATGTTAATTTCCCTACACTGCAGATTATGTGGGTATGATTAAACAGGGTGTGTCAATAAATCCATGAACAAATAAATGTGACTGTAAAGTATACACTGCTCTATAGATCAGTAATGCAAAAATAAATACCTCGATGCAGCACTATTGCCTTGCCAAAACCATGTGTTCTACTAACTTGCACTCTGTCCACTTCACCTTTAAATCAGGAGTTACAGTATGTCCCACAGCAGAATTGGCAACTAGATTTCTGAACTTGAAGGCTACACACTGTGCCTTTTTTTGTGATGTTGGAACGTTTTATGTGTACTTGAAATGGTTAATGTGGTAAGTTCCCTTTTTAAGCAAACGCAGCAAGTGCATTATCCTCCTATCTTCCAATCTGTTAGCAAAATGTATTCCGTTTTCTTCCATAATCCCATGTTCTATGCACAAATCTAAAAACCCTTCTCAATATGAAATCTACATTTTGTTAGTGTCAACGATAGTTGTATGTCAGGCATTTAAGAAAAATCTTCTAACTACAATATCATTCAGATCAAGTATATGAAGACAATTTTTGCATTAGATGCTAGACTGCAAAACTGCTGCACATATACAGGGTAGATTGCTTCTCCTGCTTTATTTTCTGAGAGCTTTTTTGCTGAATGGAGTGTTCCCCTGAGTGTGGTGTATATCTGCATGAGAATGCTTGTCACAGGAGTAGTGTTTTTTTCATAAGAAGGACAAATTGTGCCATCCATCACAGGAAAATGAGAACTGGCCTTATCTGCATTATCAGTGACCCCATTTCTTTCTGCTTCTCTGTTTCACATCTTGTGTCTCATCTTTTTCCATTTTGTGAAACCTCCTTTCTTTTTTGTCCTGTCAGTCAGTTCCTGACAGTCACATTCATTGGCTTTGATGATTCCACTGGGGTGCTGCTATCACCCATTGAAACTAATAGGGTTCTACAAGTACTCTTACAGCATATTCCAATATGCCAAGTTATCGGGGGGTTTTGGAGGCTTCTGTAAAAAGAAACTGTTTCTATTTTACAGCTGCGACAAAAAATCTATTTAGCAGAAGAATGAAAAATGTGTTTCTGAAAACATGAGTCATACTGTATATATGACTGAAAAAATATTTTTTTAATACTTTATTTCATATTTTCAATTTGCGACAAAGCTAGTTTCAGCTAACACTGGAGATTGGAGCAAACACACTAAAGTAATTGCTGTCAGTCACCAGTTGAGGCAGACTAACACAAAACTCAGATAATGTACTGTCTAGCACTATTTGAAATTCTTGCTTATACTGTATATCACATATTTCAGGTTAATACTCTTGGCTTCATCTTTTTAAACATTAAAATGGTTAATGGAGCTGCAACATTCTCCTTTAACGTTAGTTTGTCAGAACACAATAATTGCCAGAACAAAGGTAAACAATCTGATTGTTTACAGTACACCGCTGTAATAATGATCTTGTCAGCATCTCTGCATCGCTTCGTGTAATGAAGGGCATCGTTACAAACAGATTCAGAACTGAATTATGTTCTCACTGCATTTGTTTTTTGATGTTGTTCGCAGGCAGAATTGGCACACTTTAAAAATGATTGCGGTCTATCAATCTGCGCCTGCTTTAGATAAGAATGTCCCTTCTGCAAGCCAACAGAGCTAAATCTCGCCGTTCTTCCTCAGAACTTGCTGTATGCTAGTCTTGTCTTTTTGTCTGTTTTTTTTTAATGCCAGCCAATAGTTTCCATGGTAACCAGGGCTTAGGGGAGTCTCACGTCGACGTAGCCGACTTGGCTGTGTGAGCAGTAAGAGCAGATGTTGGATGGGGATCTTCAGAGCTCAGAACAATGCACATTGCTTCAAGCAGTCGCCGATGAAAGGACCTGAAAGAAGAACGAGAAAAGGGACCAGCGTAGTTTGAACTGCTGATTTGCTTGGTGTTGTTAAGATTTTTTTTTTTATTTAATTCTTCTTCTCGTCCCCCCGCCTCCTCACAGGGGTTTCTGAGCCGACGGCTAAAGGGATCCATCAAAAGGACAAAGAGTCAGCCCAAGCTCGACAGAAACAGCAGCTTCAGGCACATCTTACCTGGCATCAGAAGTGTGGACAATGAAAGGTAGGAGAGCCTGTTTTCTGGCGAGCTGACCAACCCTCCTTGCCTTTCACTACAGGATGTGCTTAAGTGGGTGGGGGGTCTGTTTGAGAGCATCATGCACTCGTTTCTCAGCACTGTAGGGATACTTAAGATGTTATCAGACCTGTGCATTTAACTCAGAGCGATAACCTGGATATTAAGGTCATTACCCACAAGGTTGTGTTGTTCCATAAAGCAATGTAGTTTCAGTCGTGGTATTGTCATTTTTCCGTTTTGCATGTGATAATAACAGTTGTCATAGAACTGAGTTAGCACTAGGAAGGAAAAAAATACAGAAAACTTCTAGCTATTGCAGAGCTCGTACTAAGTGCTGTACTGCACGGTATGTTGTACAGTAAAAGCAAGGGTCAAAGTTGAGACAGGGCATGAAACTGTCACTGTACGATCGCACATACCTTTTTCCTAACTCAACTTTCTGTATATGAAACAGGTTTTGCTTTTGTTGTATACTGCATTCCTTCGATGGAGCTAATGTTCACAAGGACACTTTGTATTTACTTATTAATAACAGTAAGATCTCTAAGCTTATAAATTATTATCCCTTAGTTGCTTTCTCGAAAACCTTAGTTGCTTTCTTGTTTTTGCTGTTCATGGGTTCAAGTTATTCTTTTATTTTCTGTCTTCCTTGCAGTTCTATTTAAGTCGTCTTTTAAGACATCTGTAAGTGACGCTCATCTCCGTGTGTATTTACTCAAGGCTGTGTCAGCCCTGCAAAATCCCTTTGGGATTGACAGTTGAAAGCATTCTACCACTCCCACAGAGGCTTTGACTTATATATCTTATACAGTAAATTTGTTGTGGAGTGATGCAAAGAATTAAGCAAATGAAAACTGCTATACACACTGCTATACACTGCTATACACTGCTATATGCAATTCTTTATTAAGAAAATAAGGAAAGATGAAGAGCGTTTCTGAAGCCAGATGTGAAAACACTCTCTGAGGCACCTACAGTATCTGCTGTCTCTTTTCAATACTTTGTCTTTGTGTATAATGATAAATATACCCATTAATCATCTTTTATTTTAAGTACCACAAAGCAAAACCCAAGTGGAATTGACTCAACCTTATGTGCTATTGCAGTCTTTTATTTTATTTTTCCTTTCTTTGGTTGTTCAATTTAAGTTGAATTAGAATTCTAAGGAAATCAAACCATTCTGCTTCCTTTAATACCTGAATGCTGTGCTGTTTTGGATGGTCAGTAGATCTATGAGTGCAGCGTAGGTCAATCATATCTGTGCTAGAATTAAGTCAGCCTCTTTTCTGTCAATCATATCTGTGCTAGAATTAAGTCAGCCTCTTTTCTGCCAGATCAGGAACAATGCAGGGCTAAAGGTCCCATAGTATCTGCATTCCAGAAAGCTGCTGCAACTGACAAGTGAAGACCAAGAAGTCTGTAGACAGGGGCACACACTGAGGAACCAGGCTATATACAGTACTTGATTGTCCTGGAGGGCAATGGTAACAGATAAAGAGAAAGGCCCATTAATGTGGTCATAAGCACACTCGGTAAATGAAGGGGAACAAAACTAGTCAGTCAAACCTTCTTGTATGATGCCTTCTTGCAAGTTGCTGAAGAAGTATCTGTTTTTTATGAGAAACCACACACATACTGTACATTTAACGTGTTTTTTTTAAAGAGATTGTGGAACAGTGCTAATTGCATATATCGTAGTATTTTGTTTGCTTTGATTGGAACTCCCAAAATGCAAACAATGGAAAATGGGAAGGTGTTTTAGTTATGGACAGATTTTATGTAAATCTCTGTCTTTATACAAGAGAGCAGAACAAATGTACAGTATCATTGTGGAGACTCAAGAATGTATTTTTCGTGAAGTTCAGTGGAAGGTTTTGTCCAGCTTGCATTTTTTTTTGTTAAAGCGATTAATGTTTGGAGTGAGCTTTGTACAGGAAATATTGTAATTATTGAACTGCTGGTTGCTATATTCATAATGATACCATCTATGAGCTACAGTTAACAAAATTATACCTCGAAATTAGCATTCTCTTTCAAATTGATTCATCACTCCTAGTAGAATATTTGAGGTCAATTGTGTTTGTTCACCTTCCAAATCTGTGATTTAAGTGTAATATTTTAATCATATTCCTCTTCTCCAGCTGGATGCTTAATTCACCTTTATTATGAGTCCTGGTATTCAAGGGAAAACATTGCTCATGTAAATTTGATGTCCCGTTCTCATTTCAGTGCCATTTAATAATGGATTGAACTATCTCCTCTGCTGTAAAGCATGAAGGAACAGTGAAGGGCGGACACTCGAGTGTGCTGTTGGAAGACAGTAACACAGTTTTGCTTGCCCCCAGCTCATCTCTCTCTCATCAGCTTTTATTAAATTTCTCTTCCCTCTGACAACTCTCCCCTTCCTACTGTAGGAAAGCGAGCTTTTCAAGGCAAGATGATCGGGCAATGGAAAACCTTTTGAAAACCTCCTCATTCCCTTTTTATTTAGCCATTAGAAATCATAATAAAAGCTAAAAATTCAGGATAGTCCTAGTCACTGAACATTTTCCCCAGTCTACAAATACAGCAGGTGGGTTTCGGCTGACTGTTCCTTCTCTGTCTCGTGCTGCTTTTTGTTCTGAAAATTCAGCTTGGCTGTTAAATGCTCACCTGCCTGAGGAAAGTGGCTGCGAAGGGCAACAGGGTCCTTTGTACATTGTTTTGCACACCCAGAGAAAATTCAAGAGGCTGCTCTGAGGCAAACACAGCTCCTTAATGAATATGTGCTGGCGATTTCTGACTACATTGTAAAAGAGAAACAAACACAAAACACAGCAAGTAAGAAATACACAGCTGGGTGGTGAAAATTTTCAAACACTGTTTGAATGAGTTGTCCTCATAACCAGAGATGTTTTAGATTGCCAGAGTTCTGAATAATAACAATAATCATCATCACCATCATCATTCTTTATGGAAGAAGTTTTGCATGCCCTTTTTATTTTCTTTTGAATACTCAAAATCCTTTTAAAGAAAATCTGTTATCTATCATTTTGTTGCATAGTTGATTCATTGTCTTCCACTGCTCATATTAGGAGTTTCCTGTGAGTCAATTATTACTTGCTGTATTCTGCTTTACATACAGTATGTAAAAGCCATTCTAAAATGGAATCTCTAACACAGGATGTTTTAGATGGAATTAGCTGCATGAATTCTGTAATACCACAAATATTCTTTCTCACGACATCTATCTGTAACAGATCACAGTTCTTGCAGGAGAAAGCATATACTGTAGGTTTTAAGATGTTTTTTTTTTCCCATTGATATGATATTTAACTTCAGTATTTGAATATTGTGAGATGTTTTTCATTTTATTCCATTCCATGTGATTCACAATGTTTGCCACCATTTCCAATTTTCTTATTGTTTGCGTAGACATGTGCAAATGTTTGTGCAAGTCTCGATGAATGAAGAAAGAGTGGGTGATGAAATTTGCATAAGTGATGTACTGGAGATAGCGGATACTGTGCCCAGCAAAATTATTGGGACAACAGTCAAAACTGTAGTGAAGCAAATTGTATCTGTGATTGAGATTAAAATGAATGATTAGTGTAATATACATTTTACTTTTGGGTAAATCCATACATACTTTTGTTATTAGAACGTAAACATTCGTTGTGATCAATCCACTTTTTAGTTCTCTTTCAAGAAAGTAATGCGTGGTAATTGCAACCACATTGAGTTCTTAATTGTTCAGACTCATTGTTCTGACTTCTGAGTTATTCTGAGTTTTTTAAAATAAATTTCTTCACTATTTAAACTCAGTTAGATCTGCCACTTAGATATTTTCTACATCTTTTACACTTCTGTCATACCTCATGCAATTATTACCTCAATAGTTTTGTTTTTTTTTAAACAAATTGAGTAAGAAGCTAATTATGCTTTCTTAACATCATATGCAATTGAAGTGTAACTGCATTACAAATACTGAGATATCATGCCACTTAAAAGATCTTTTATCAAAATATTGCATTTATACAAGGGACACTTTATGAGTAACAAATTCCTTATTGAAGAAATAACATTCTTGACATCTGAAATAAAATTAGAAAGCCACATTGCTATTGCAGCTGACTACTGGAGAACTATGTTTTTGTACAGTATAGACTGTATAATGGCACTGCAACCTTCCCTTTAGTCTCCTGTTGGAAAACGAAGATAAGGAAATCGTTGGGAAAATAAGCCATTATTGCTTTAATGTAAACTGTTCACTACAATGGAATATACCAGGAAAACAAGTACTGTACCTACCTTTTAAAATTCTTTAATCTGTTGCACAGTACACATACTGTCAAATAGATTAGTGAGTGCACAAGTATTTATCGTACATTTCCTTTCTAAGTGCCGATGGAAAGTTATTGTCTCCTTAAATGGAAGCTGTATAGCCCATGAGAGCTACAGTGCAGTCTTAATGGTAGTCGAAGTTCCGCTTAGTGACACATAACTGTCGGTTATACACCAGGAGATAATTACGGTTGAACTTCTGACACCCTGGTGAATATTTTATCTGTTAATAACTGCATTCCTGATGCTTTTGAAATGATTAATCTTTTTTTGGCATTGCTCCTGCTCCTGTAAATGACATCAAATGTAACGTTGTGCTGAAGAACAGTAGGCAATGAGAATGGTAATATCAATTTATCATGCGTTTTATACATTTTAAATTACTCTGTACTGCATACAGTAGCTTGTAGAACCATGTGTTGTTGTTTTTTTTCTTTGGCAGAGGGTGCACCATTTTTTTCTAATTCATGAAAAAGCAAAGATGCAAGATGTCAATAAAAAGAATTTTAGATCTGGTGCATTTTAAACTGTTATTTTCAAGTGAAGTGCCCGTTGTGTACTATTTTAAATGTCTTTTAATATATCCAAGTTTCAGTCTAAATAAAGTTTCATTTGATAGTCAGAATAATAGAATAAACAAATCTTAACGTGTTTTTGACTAG